AGAGAAAGTCCCTAATAACTGCAGCTGTATGTGGTCTTGCGTTGTCATATTGAAAAATTTGATGTTCGAGTTGTTGAACACAGGGTAACGCCACAGGATGCATCACATTACTATTGGATTAGACGTTCGTTTCATTTCAAAAAAAAAAACTAGAGGTAACCTGATTCCAAATTCTGGGGCTGTTATGCTTCTGGTAAGCATAATATCAAGCTCTATGAAAGACTGATATTCATATCTTTATCCAAATCTTCGTCAGACTCTTCTACGGACTCGTCTACGGACTCCTCTACGGACTCTTCTACAGCCGCCATATGTCCATAAATAAAAGCGTCAACCAACAGTGAAAAATAAATACTTCCTCCAATAATTATTGGTTGTATATGTGGAAAAAGAGACTTTTCTCGGTTTACTCAACATAGAATGGCTTTAAACGATCATTTTTTAATTAATAATATGCATTTTAGATACTAGGTAATTTTTTACACTTAATCGTGGACCCTTTTTTATTACTATGTTTATAAATACCGCAAATGGGTTTGCGGTATATTTATAAACATATTTTATTTAGTAGTAAGAAACTTTTATCCGTTAAACAGATGGGTGAACATTGTCCTTACTTCGGATCTTAGACCAGTATCTTTCTAATGCATTGAATGGTGGTGGAGTTATCAAATTAGATACATATAGATCTTACTTTTCTAAGGGGGTCATAGGATATTCTGGGAGTGGCCGTGCCCACCCTTGTCCCCTGTAGCTACATCAATACTGATGAGCCAGTTTGTTTCTTTGGTCAATGATAATGGGACACAAGGACGGTAGTTCATAGCTGCGAATTCCACGGTAAATTGTACAGGGTGATAATGTATCTATAGTTCATGAGTTCAATGTAAGTTTTAAAATTGTCGATCCTTAGCTGCCATCCACGTTTGTTTGATTCCTCTGGTTGTGCTAAAACAGTCGCGTGCTCTTATCAGTCGTTTTTCGCAATCGCTGGTTCTTCTTAATTTTTGAAGAGAATGATAGCTTTGTGCTAGCATTTCTGCCAACTCTGTTTGAAATTTTGCAAAAGAACATTCTATCCTCTCTTAGAACTACTCGTTCAAGTTCGCTTGACGATAAATGGCAAGTGAGGCTTATGAGGCATTGTTAAAGGATAAATCTATCCACACAAATACTTTAAAAAATGCTAAACTGTAGTTTAGTATGGTATACTCCATAAGGCCTATTAAATAACAAAAATTTATAAAGATAACTAAACAATATCTTTTTTTTTATTATGGAAATAAAACAAATTTCTTTGGCCATATCGCGGTCAATAAAATAATATCGACACATAACAAACATTTTAAAATATAGACGAAACCACATCTTTTTGTTTTATATTATGTAGGTGTATCCAAAAAATTAATATTTGGCGTAACAAATTAGTGGAAAATAAAAAAAAGAGTTTTTACATTGATAAAAATTACCAGTGGGGTTACAGTAAGAAGATGAGATCATTTAGGTTTCTGAAACATATGTTCGGCTTTCAAATAAAAACCAAGTGACCGATATTGCCAAAGAACTTAATCCAAGATTCTATGAGGGTCAGGAAATTATCCCCTTTCTAAACATAATGGGTGTTGTAATTTCTATGTCACGCAATATAAATATTACATTATTATGTAGTTCCTATATCCTATATCTAGTATTGCTTATACCATACCACTTCACTAGTGATGTCAGAACACCCCCATAAGTAGGATCTGTAATTTATCTCTGAATAACAGAGTGTTGTTTTTCTGTTTTATATTAGTTTTAAATAATGCCACAAAATAGTTAAATTATGGCTACTATAGTTTAAGTAGCTTTGTCAAATGTTGAATGAATCAAAAGGGGTTGCGGCTGAACACATAGCTTACAATAGCAATGATAAACTTATATTTCGTGCCACATTTCGTGCAAAATATTAAATCGCAAGTCGCTTTCGGCCTATGATATAAATTTTTTGTATCATGCTTTCAGCCTCAGACCATGATCAGAGATTGTCTATAAAAATGTGATTCCTACTTCAAAATTTTGTGACTACGAAATATTATCAAGATCAAAATAATTACAAAGTATCGCAATTTAAAATTATGAACCCTAAGAAGCCTTTTTTTGTGTGAGAGAAGAAAAGCTGGCTATTGTAATCATGTTTGGCTTACGCTCGCGTTCAGAATTTTCCACTCGTATCAAATTTTCATTCCAACCTTGTTACAGAACTTACCATTTTATTTTTATTAAATAGTTTAATCAAATAACTTCTAATATTTAGTTGATTCCATTCAGCACAAAGCATTCTAAAACAATTTTAGATGAATAATTACAAAAACCTAAAACTAAGTGATTAAGGCACATACTTCTAATAATGTACCTCGCAAGCTTAGATTAATTATATCAATAGAACGAGATGCGACTTTATGAGCGCAGCCAGTTTTATTGGTAATCTCACTCGGGAGTATTTATAATAACCATTTTCTGTTCCACATTGTTATTGTCCAGCGAGATGAAAAATATCCTGTCTGCACCCATACAGTTGCATCTCAACCCTATTGAAAAGAATTCTACCCCATTCCAGTTCATTGCACATAACGCATGCTAGGCTTGTTTTGGTTCTTTCGGTAACTAATTCAGAATCACTGAATTACACTCGATCAGCTAAGAGGTTGTTATAACCTCGCGACGAGTTCTTGAAAAATTAATTCGTCCACAGTATTTGGTAACTGAATTCAATGGTTCTGTTTGAACCAAAACAAACCCGTTGTCTATTCCAACCTTAAGTAGCCCACCAATTAAAAATCATTGTTTCCACGACGCCACCCAAATTGATCCGATATTTCTAGTCTACACTCATCTCCGCGAGAGTAGGTGCTTTCGTTCGTCCCACTGGTGTAGGAATGAACTACACCAACGCACACTATATCTTTCATTTGGCCCGGTGTAAAATCCACTACACCTTCTTGTCGGCGATGTGGTGTCCACTGGTGGATATTTTCTCATCCAGCTATTTAGCAGAAGTGAATTACACTCGACATGTGTATCAGCAAGTATGGGGAAGTAAACTAGGTAAATAAGGTGGTTTAACTGGTGTAATTTACACTGGTGGACACTGCAACAATAGCGAATGAAAGAACCTAGTGAATCATCATGGACCGCCATTTTTTGATTTATTTGTTGGTGTTATTAGCAATTTAAAGTGTTTTAGTTAATCAATTTCAAGTTTAAAATGCCACAATGTATCGTGTAAAAATGTATATGCAAATAATATAAGTGCCAATGTTATGAAAAATAAAAAATATACTTTTCAGCGGAAAATATGCATGGTATAAAAAATAAAGAAAATATGTATTAACGTTTTGACATAAAGCCGCCATGATCCTTTGGGCTGAATTCTTCAGATCCGCATTAAGGGGTTAACCAGATGCAGGAGACGTAGCTACAAACAATAATCGTGCTGTCGTGAATAAGACATATTCTAGGGGACACAGGAGGGTATACTACCCGCTGTTGTCATGCCTATTTCGTTATTTTCGTTTTGTTTCACATAATTATTTACACATCTTAAAAAAAACTAAAATAATTCAACCTATTTTATTGCAACTGAATTCAAAAAGTTTTGAATCATTAGTTATATCAAATTTAACTAAATTAGATGTAATAATTTTTAATAAATTACAAAACCTAGTTAATGTCAAGCTGGATATGAAGTATTTTGTACTAGATATGACAACATGGCTTGTATTTTGTACGTTTTCATTATGGGCGTACAACTTATAGATTTATTGATAAAATTGTTTTGTGCGGGCGTCAAATCCTTCCCATTCCTCATACTACATGTCTCATCACTTCTGATCTACAACTGGACCATATCGATGTCGGCGTTACGAATATTATTTACAATTTATCTTCTGTTATCTCTGCGGAATAACCGAGCCGACTAGACATTCTGATTATCCGAGGTACGCATCATTGTTCCGTATAAACCAAGCTTCTAGAATGTTCGCTTAAAATCATCGGGGAACCCCTGGCCAACTTCAAGTGTGACGGATTATCCGAGTTTTTTGTTATCCGAGGCAGGTCTCCCCCCGTTACCTCGGATAATCGGGGTTCTATGGTATCATTAGCGTAGAATCCTTTTTTGTATAAAAAACGCTATTTAAGAGAATGCAAGCATGATAATTTTGGTTCAATCTTCACCTTATTCTCAACGTTCGTGTTTTAGATTTTTCTGATTGTTGTTTTTGGCGATAAGTTGCAATTTTTTATCGTTTTTTTAAAAAGCTTTTATTATTTGATAGGCGCCCCACACGATGGCATCAGAAAAAACTGCCAAAATAGACTCCCAAGATAAAAAATCTACTTTTTTAGTAAAAGCCAGTATTTGGACCGTTATTTACCACAACTGTTTCAAATTGTGGTGCCTGAGATAGATTGACAGAGGAACAACGACCGAGGTGGTTTCATAAGTGTTCCTTTTGTCAAATTGGGAATGAAACATTAAAAATGGCTCCTAATCATACCATCTTTTAAAAATAATCTAAAACGAAATCGACTAAACGACCAATTTATATAGTTTTTAAACATATTGATGTTAATAAATATTTGGCTATTCGTTTTAAATAGTAATTTAGTGCATTGGTTATAGTAACACTTGGTAGGTATTTCTTCCAAATTTTCTACACCCTGTATATTATAAAGAATTATTACAGACCCTATTTATGGTAGTGCTTTCACCAAGTGGTAACCTATTATCTAGTGGAGTATTGTTACATTCAACGAGAAGCAGCTACAACCGGTTAATTTTATTAAAACAGTACGTTCGTTGCAACAAATATATCATTTTCGTTTAAAAAATTCTGGAAGAATTCACTTGTAGGTTAAAAGCTTCTCATAGTCTGCTGTACAATACCTACCCTATGAGAAATGTTGTAAAAACTACATTACTTTTTTGGCAAATGAATTATCTGAATATTTCTTGATTATGAAATAGTACTCGGGACGGATCTATCATCAATTTCTGCTGTCCTGTTGTTTCTAGCATCGTTATTTAATGCAGTTATTTTTTCATCTTTCTTTATCAATATTAAAATACTGAATGGTCTAAAAATTAAATGTATTACTGATGCTGTTAATGATAAAGCAGCTCTGTAACCTAAAACAAAATATTTTTATTAGTCTGTGTATTTAATGATTATAATTAAGTTTTGAGAATAACATGTGCTTCTAGCTCTAACTTATGAGTGGAAATCACGGAAGTATATCGTAATTTTATTATTATATTCCTTGTAGTTAAAGTAATAACGTATATTCCAATTGTGAATTGTTAAACCATGGAATTATACCTATATACAATTACCCCTAGTTAAAAACAAGATGAACATTAAATGTTTAGGATAATATTTACAGAAAATTTTGACATTGGCCTATACGTTTTTGAAGACATTGTGAAAAGTAATCAGAAGTTCCTTGAAAATCAGATACCTGTGATATTAGAAGATATTCTCCTTACGAGAAATATCGTGGTATTTTCATGATGGTGTTCCTATACCTATTCATCATAATGAACTAAACTAAAGTAAATTATTCTGTGTGTTTGTTTCTAAAACACAAAGTTTACAAAAAGCTGCTGCAATAAGCAATGGTATGAAAATTCGAATAAGAAACGAACTTCAGAAAATTACCAGTCAAAAGCTTAGTAATGTTAGCAGATCTTTTGAAGAACGTTTGCAGCATTGTACAGCTGTTGAAAGAAGTCATTACATTAAAAGCACAGTTCACAGACTTATAAAGAACATTGTTAAGAAATCCGTAGAAATCAAACAAGATTATTATACATAACCCTACTCAATTGGATAAGTTCACCAGTGAGCAGTACCGAACCAAGTTCAACAGAAATAGTATACAATATAACCGTCAGAACCAATCTACTAAAATATCCAGTTAGTTGTATATCACAATAAGTATGTATTTGACTTATTATCTTTTCAATGCTGATAAGCAGTGAGTTCAAGAGCAACTCTCCAGTTTATAGAATCTAGCAAAAATGGAAGGACAAGAAGAAGAGCCACGAATTTAGATTATTCAAACACTAAATAGGCAGGCACTATGAGAATACATGGATCCTAAACAGGACAAAACCGTCCATTTTAAATTGTTGGTTCAAGAACTACCAGGTCAAAACATATCAACATTTTTATGGGACCACCCCCTTTACTTGACCAAACCGAAATGAAATATAATAAATTAAAAGGGTAGTAATGTGTCTATACTACATCCAAATCCCAAGTATAGGACACATGATATGCACAAATCAACATTGCGATTGGTTGATAATCGGGGTTATGATCGACAATTAATGTTATTTTTAACAGACACGTTGAGGGTTATGATTGACAACCTATGTTATTTTTAACAAGTCTTTTATTTTATAAACACACAAATAACAACCTGTTCACAAATAACGTGTCGGATATAAATAACATTACTTGTTCATCATAACCCCGTATATTTGTGTGTGTTTATAAAATAACAGACCTGTTAAAAATAACGCAGGTTGTCAATCATAACCCCCTATGTCACTAGTTGTTTTACGCAAGCTAATTAGTTTTTTAAATTGATAATATGTACATAATATTAAAATATATATTATTGTATCGCAATTTGTTTATTCCAATCCCAAACACCAAAATAAATGTCAAAGTGTTTTTACTTACTTCCTAAAATATCTGCCATAGCTACAATATATAAGGCATCCAAAATTATAGCACACATGTTAATGAGGATAGCCTAAAATTAATAAACAATTAGTTGAAGGGTACCCATATATATTTTTTTGATAATTTAATACCAATTTCAACGGCTCATCACTTTTAGAATATAAACTCCAGATTAATAGAAATATAACAACAAAATTGTAGAATAAATAAACAAATGGATTAACGGTTCCTATGGCACCCATTACAGTTAGTAAGTAGTGTACAATAAGGACCACCTAAAAATAAAAGAAAAATAATACATTATTTTTATTATTTAGATACTAGTTAAAATAAAATTATATTTTAAAACCATGCAGTAAAATTTGGTCTTCAACATATCACACGTCATCTGATAAAACAAAACATCTGACATGTCCAACAAATTACTTTCCAGTAAAGTTATCAAATATTTAGAGTATGGCACATTTAATCAGAAGAATTTCCTTCTCCGATCATAAATATAGTTTGAAATATAAAAACAACATCATATAAGATACCGCCTCAGATGCTCCGACTATGCCCAAAATATAATCAGATCATTGCAGTGACGGATTTAGGCTTGCTGCCGCCCTAGGCCCCGTTCGATACACCGCCCTTTTTGATAAAATTAATTTCATTAATTTTTATCCAATATTTTTAATATACATCAGCTCACATACTTTAATTTAAAAAATTTCGAAATTCTTGCACTTGGATTTTCAAAAATTATTGAAATTTGTAGATGTAATTGAAGATTTTGCAAATATGAGAAATATCGAATTAATTTTTTTTTATTTTACATAAAACTTTCAATTTTTTAACAGTTATTTTGATGATTTAAAAAATTGAATATGGAAAAAGACAGGATTTATTTTTCATAAAAAATTATTTTTATAAACAAAAAATGTTCTGACACTTTTAAATGAATATCATAACGATATTCAATACCCCTGAATAAAAAAAAATACTGAGACAAAGAAAAAAGTATTGAAAAGTATTGGATTGAATAGAAAACCAATACTTTTTTCTTTATGTTAATACTTTTTTTTTAATCAGGTACATGCAAATCTTCGGTATTTTTATTTCACACTATAAACAAATAGAGAAGTCATTCGGATTTAATAATTTCAAAATGTTTCATACACGTAAGATTAATCTCACTAAAGGAACAAAAAGTAAAGAATATTACTCGATAAAGAGTATAGGTGATCGATTAAAAAATTAATATGTTACCCATACAGATTTTTTTATAAAAAGTAATCTGAACCAATTTTTGAAATTGATTGTCTTTGCTTTTTTGTGCCTCTAAAATTTTGGCATTTCATAAATTTTGCCGCCCTAGGCCCGGGCCTCATGGGTCTAGGCGTAAATCCATCACTGGATCATTGGCCATTGATATCGATATCGACATTCGATATCACTTTATACGAGAACAATATGAAACCGGTAATATTGTACTGACACTTATTAAAACGGTTGATCAAGAAGCTAATATTTTAACAAAAGGGTTGCATAAGAAGAAATTTGAACAACTCCACAATAAAATGGGAATTACTTCTAAAAGTTTTCTTAAATGAGGTGTATTTTTGATTAACATGAAACTTTTCAAAAAGTGGGAGTATTGAGGAAGTTTTGTTTTTGCCAAGTTTACATGTTTTTGTTTTTGAAATGTTTTAGTTCAATGATTGATGTAATATGTCAGATTTTTTTATTAAAAGTTTTTTGATACAAGTTATTGCCTTTTATGGTCCACTCATGGTATCCCATTGCGCTCCGGCTGATCGCGTCTGTTGGTGCAATATGTTGATTGAACGCGAATGCCTGTATTTAAAAATAGAGGTCAACAGATCCTTGAAACAAACAGTGTGCCTGCTTGAAACCACGCTATTTGTACCATCATTTTGTGCATTGCATGTAGATTACGCCACGAGAGTTAACTTTGCTTGGTCCAACAACTAGTTGCGCTTTTTTAAGGTCACTTTGACTCTAATCCAACGTAACCACATTTAGTAAATTTCTGCTTTTCTGGTATATTTTCAGCTTTTTTAACTAGTTTTAGTGGACAATTTATTTTTTTTTTGGTAGATTTATATAAATTAGTAAAAAATTCCATTTACTCATATAAAACTTCCTATTTAAATAATTGTGTTGCTAAATTGTTATGGCCAACGATTATCAAAATAATCGGTTATTTTCGATTAATCGATTAGGTACTTAAAAATAATCTATTCCTTTCGATTAACAGATTATTTTCGATTAATCCATTCTTTTCGATCAATTGATTCTTTTCGATTGATTAATTAATCGATTCTGTTAGATTAATTGATTCTTTTCGATTAATCGATTCTTTTCGATTAATCGATTCTTTTCGATTAATTGGTTACTTTAGATTAAAATTGTTTCTGTGCTTGTACAGCGTAATGTAGTATTTCTAGTAATGGATCACCTAAGTGATGTTATCAAGCAATCTTTTCATGACTCAGGAATCTTGAAAAAAATCGAAATTTAATTGCACGGTGCCAAATAAGTTTTGAGAGATATTGGCGCTTGTATAGTTTTGAACCGAACTTACAAATGCTAAAATTATTGGAAAAAATTGAACCCCCATTTTACCACCAGCCGTCACTGCCTTTAACCGTATATGCATTTTGCCTGGTAAACGTATTTTCTGTGCAATATGGGTGAATGTGGCCAAATAAAACAGTTCAGTTTATGTTAAAAATATATTTGAATAAAAAATCATAAAGGGTAATATAACAAGATTTCAATAAATAGTCGACTATTTTTATTTGATCTAAATTTTGAGTCTTTTTGAAATTAATTTGTTTAGACATAATTTTGTCATTAATAATCTCATTAGAGTCCGAGATCTTTAGTTCGAGGACGTTATTCGTAGATTATTAATGACAAAATTATATCTCGACAAATTGCAAAATATACGAAAAATTTAGTAACACTAGAAATAAGGTCGAGTTATATTTAATGATATTATTTCTAGAGCCCTAAATGTAACTTAAATAAATCCACAATAAAATAACTTATTAAAATTAATTTTATTTTCGATTCATTTTGATTGGGATTTATTTAGAGAGTATTGAAAGCCGATCAAAAACATTTTGATCGATCTTCAATAGGTAGTCTATTTGAAAAAAATGATGTTCACAATAATTTACGTGTGTATAAAGATAAACTAACATATTATATTTTCTTATTTGTAATTTTAAATAAGGACGGTTTCATTTCAAAACTTTTTATAATTTCGCTATTTTGAATGGTTTTCTCATATCAAGTAATAAATTGTGAAAACTTAACCCTACATTTTAAAACTTTTACTTTGTTGCAAAATGAATGTACACACTGTCATCCTAGCATTATGCTAATATAATGTTTTTGGTTCATTTAACTATACAGAATGTTTCAAAAAACATGTGCCACCACTACTGGTGAGATTTCTTACCCAAAAATAAGGCAAATAGTTTCTATCAACATGGGTCCGCAGCTCTGGTCCGCAAATGTTTTGTTTCAAAAATACAAGGCGTTAAAGTTTTTTAGATTTTTCAAAATATTTCCAATACGGTTTTAACGATTAGAATGAAATTCAAGTTGTACAATGTACCTACTTAAAAAAGCAAATATTTTAGCAATACAAAAATGTAAGTGGGTTTAATATAGACGCGCGTGCGAACGAGCGCTTTAAAAATGTTTGACAAAAAAATATGTACGTCACTGAATTTTTAACTTTTGATTGCACAATTAGTTCGACATTTAAACGTCTAACAAAAAACATCGTTTAATTTCGGTTTCGTTTAGAAGCTTCAATTTTTTTCAAACTGTTAAATATCAAGCTAAAAATAAATCCATAAAACAATCTAGTATGGTAGTGTCATCTTTATTGACTTGTTTTGTACACTGTTATTTGTTTGACAAATTTCCCTCTAAATAATTTTTTACTGTTAAAATTGAAACCTGCATTTTGAAACAAAATATCCGTTGATAAGAATTATTTATTTTATTTTAGGGTAACGAATTCTCTACACGAGCGATGTCACATGTTTTTTGAAACACCCTGTATACTTATTTATTTTTTTATTTTATTAGTCTTCTAATATTTAGCATTTATGCTCTATGACTTGTCCAATACATTTTTGTGAAAAATAAACACTTTTTAAATTTTAGTTATTTTACTTTTATTTAAGGAATAGCAATAACAAATATTTTGTTAATTAGGCATATCTATTTTAGTCATTTCGTATTTGAAAAATACGTTTTAATTGTTAATTTCTAATTTTCGATTTCATAACTGCTCATATAAATATCTTCAAATTAGAAAACTCCTTATAAATATTGCTATTGTAATTTATTATAAATATCAAAATTACTACGACCACTTTAAACGACCTAAATAACATGAAAAAAAAATGAATGGGCCCGTTCACTTTCATTTTTGAATGTGAATTGATTATATATTTATAAAGATATTAAACTCTTTTGTCTGGTGGTACTTTTCCCGTAAAGATATTTTTGCTAGAAGTAAGGGAATTCCCATAAAATTCTTTCAGTGACTCATTGCGTCAGAAAATCCCTAATTCCGTTCACGTCTCGTATCGGTTATGCTGAAAGACGGCGAGGTTGTCGGAAGTATCCCTAATATAGCATTTCTGCATTTATATGTAATTTAAATAGTAAAATTCCATTATTTTTCTAAAAATCATGAACTTATATTTTCAGATTTAAAGCTGGGAGCTTATTTTTTACTTTTTAATTAAAACAATTATTATTACTCAGGCTGAAAATTAACCAGACCATAATCAAAAAGTAGAAATTTGATTTGCAATATTTATCTGGTAAACGTGGCAACGTTGCATTTATTTCTAGAAGTGTGTGTAGACAACACTATTTAGAAGTACTTACAACGTTGTCACGTTTACCAGATACATTTTCTCAAATAAAATTTCGATCTGGTAATATTCAGCTTGAGTAATACTAATTGTTTTTATTAAAATTTAAAAAAGGTAAGCCTTCCAGCTTTATCTGAAAATATAAACACATTATTTTTAAAAAATAATATTTTTTTATCATTTAAATTTCTTTTATAAATGCAGAAGAGGAATGGTGGTGCAATGATACATCCGACAACCGCGCCCTTTTAACTATTAACCGATACAAGACCTGAAGGGAATTAGGGGTTTTCTGACGCAATGAGTCACTGAAAGAATTTTATGGGAATTCCCTTACTTCTAGCAAAAATATCTTAACGGGAAAAGTACCACCAGACAAAAGAGTTTAATATCTTTATAAATATATAAATAATTCACATTCAAAAATGAAAGTGAACGGGCCCATTAGTCCGCCTCCCATATTCTCCTTTCCACCTCCACATTTAGGATTTTATTTTCAATAGTATGATACAAATTTTTACAAAATGTGGATCAAATAAAAATAAAAATGATGTTATTTATCGATTCTACACAAAAATAACTCATTTTAATATACAGGGTGATTCAAAATTGAGTGCAAAGATTTTAAGGGCGTATTTACCGGCCACCAAAAATAAGAACAAATTTCATATAATGTATGTCCTAACTTGCTTCGTTTTCTAGATACAGGGTGTCAAAGTTTTAAAAAAAATCGATTTTTTTAATAATTATTAATTAAATAAAATCACAATTTGAGACGCCACTGGAATAAATAATGAATAAAATTTCATAACACAAATAAAAATTAAGACAGATCTATTTGGCGACAATCTCCATCATTTAGTAATTAATTTTTTACTTGTTTAATTAGGAGCAGGCACAAATTTTGATTTTTTTTCTTAAAAACAAAGCTAGATACGAGTAAAGCTTAAGAAGCAAGAAAATTACATTATTGACCGCTTAATCTAAAAAAAATTTTAATTGTCAAAAAAGCAGTGCTGTACCATAATTTTACCTATAAGTATCAAGTAGGTAGCCCCCTGAGACGCCACTGGAATTAATACATTTATTTTATACTCACCAAAGGAAGGCCCTTATGATGAAAAATAAGTCTACCAAATTTTATTTAAATCGGCTGAGTAATTGATAAAAAAACCGATTTTTTTAAAAAACTTTGACACCCTGTATCTAGAAAACGAAGCAAGTTAGGACATATAATTATAGAACAAAATTTCTTATTTTTAGCTGGTACATACATCCTTAAAATATTTGCACTCATTTTGAATCACCGTGTATATTTATTCTCAACTAAAAAATATACTGACAATTAGTTTGATGTCACTTATTTAAAATTTTAAAAATAATAGTAGTTGGGTGTCCAAAACCTGTGATTAGTGGATGTCATTTTGTTGCAATGTTTTCACTATCTAGAATGGATATGAAATATATTCGTTTAGTTGAACGCAATAGAATACTTTTTCGTTTTGAAGTCTGTGCCAATATCCATGTGGGTGTAAAAAAATAAATTTTAATCTGATCATGGTCAATCATGCAGATTGTTATATTCCACACCACAATACATCATGCGCGAAATAGACAAGATTTCGTCGGCTAAGTATCATACCTCTGAAATTTTTTGTATCATCTGTTGCTGTCAACATAGGTGAATATCAATCACCATACATAATAGTCGATATCAGATAGTCTGTGAAAATAGTCTTTTTATTTGTTTCTAATTAGTTTTAACGATAATTTAAATTGCGATGTGATGGGTTAATATGTCAAAGTTGACAGGCGAGGGAAAAATCAACACAAAATATAGGAATACGATAAATTATCAAGGATAATATACCAAGACATTGATAATAGTCAGCTATTTTTGTTGAATCTAAATCTCGAGAATCTTTAAAAATTAATTTGATGAGATATAATTTTTGGCATTAAAAATGCTTTAATCAATTGATTATTAATGCCAACATTATGTAGAATCAAATTGTAAAATGTTCGAGATATTTAGCAACAACAAAAATAGCAGAATACTATTCAAGGTCGTGTTATATTTGGGACGACTATTTCACTAGACTAAATAATGACTATTTCTCTAGATAAATAGTCGCTGATATTTGGTCTATGGAGATAGTCAAAATAAAACACAAATTGGGCTTTAAACTTGAAGAAACCTAAAAACGATACACAAATACCGATATGCTACTAATACGCTAGTTCGGTGTGATGTCATTTTGGTTCCACTGACATTTAATTCAAACCAAACTTTTAACAAAAACCTCAATAAATTTGACATACGTTTTTACTGTTTTTAGTTTATTTCTAAATATTTTTATAGGTCATAAAAAATAGTTTAAAGGTATGTAATTGGTAACTAAACGATTGTATATTTGGTGCATATTATCTATTTACTTTACTATAATTTAGGTAAACAAAACGAACAAAACGCACTTAAAAAATCTACTATCCCTTTAATTTTCAGTGGAACCATAATTACATCATCACTGAACTAGCGTATTCGATCGAATTTCGCACTTTTCGCGCATGACATAACGTGTCATAAGGCAAACGGTATTTGATTGACGTTTGAATATTAATAATAATTTTTTGAAATTTTAAATAAAAGTTAAAAGTAGTTTGCTTGTGTGCTTTTTATTTTTTAAGTACCTATTTAAACAGTTTAAAGTATTTTGATTCTGTATTTTTCATTTCTGGATGTTTTTAAAGGGTTTAAATTAAAGGGGTTGATTTCTTCAGAAATTTTATTATGACAATAAGAAAAACTATAAAATGTCTAATTGTGCAAAATTACAAAGGGAACAGACATTAAATATTTTCAATTTCCAAAGAATGAAGAGCTGAAGCAGTGGACTGTAGCATGTCGTCGAGGAAGGACAATAAACTTAATAAATAGTAAATGAAGGAGGTTTTATTTGAATGCAGCAGATATTGTTGGGATATATGCCCATAAATAGCCGACATTTGAAACCTGATGCTGTGCCCACAATAAGTATTCCTAAATTTTCCGCAGCAATCTAGAAAAGGCAATGTAAAAAACGTAATCTGCGATCAACTAAAAGAAGACAGAGGGATGAAGATCTTACCTACACAGAACCTTCTCCTGAAGTATTTGCATTTCAAAATAATTCTTCTCCAAAATATTCTGAGATATAGTCGCTAACAACCCTTAATCAGACCCTCTGTGCAGTGGTTTTACTCGAATCTTTCTCGTTCAAATTGTGCATTATTGTTTGGCGTTCTTTGTTATGAACTTATGTAAGATACACATATTTAAAATAATGTGTCATTGCTAATTATACTTTATCATATATCGTATTCTTGTTTTATAATAAATGAACAAAATGTTCATAAAATTTGTGAAATATTTGTACTAATACAATAACTTTTCTACTTTCACTTCATAAAAACCACAACCTTTAACAATGAAATAATGTTTTTTTTATCGAAAACCTCTCGTTACTTGTATTTTTGCTTCGGATTAATATGCCACGTGACGTCATATCATGAGACAAGGATAGACAACATGCGCAGGAACATACCGGTATTTGTCTATCATGGGATTGCAATTTTTTTTATATTAGAAAAATCTATGATGTCTTTGACATTTGGTCATACAAACATGTCGTTTTTCGACCATTTGACAAATTTAACTGATGCTTCGTTAATGCTTCATTTTTATTTATACCTATCAGGAAAGAATTTACAAGTCAGTCAACTTCAACTCTGCGGCCAATTTCACCCCAAAATAGTAAAAAAAATAATCATTAGTATCTTTAAAAAAAAGGTGACTAATATCGTATTGTTATACAATTTATCATTGAAATAAGAATACAATAACATGAATCAAAACTGCCTACATTTACAGTTCAATGATATTTTTTTAAACCATGTTTCCTTAATTGCAATATCGCGAATTTAACCTCCTTTGAAAGTAGTTTAAATTTTTTTCAATTTAAAAATTAATTGTCAGATATTCATAAATTTGAATCATTAGCCATACCTACAACAAAACAAGTAAGCCACAATAAATCTTTTTTATGTTTTTGGTTAAGTTTACCACAGCGATCAAAGTAAACCCATTTTACGGTATTTTGTGATTTTATATAATTAGGTATTTTAATTTTACAATTTACCCTGAATGACCGAATATTTTCTATAAACAATTTGTATAAAATATTATAGTGATTATTTCGTTATTTAAATTATTTTCTTCATAAAAGTAAAAACGCTTTATTATAAGATTTGATTTTAGAAATAAACTCTCAAAAATAAAAAAATGAAAATCAAAATATAAGCATTTTAGTAAACATTAAGGCAGACAAAAATGTTTCTTTAACGGCGTTAACTATTAATACACCAATGAACCTTAAACAAGTGCGAAAATTATTAGACCCGCCCCATATACATCTAATGCAATTATCCATTTTAATGTTCTGATTTTATATTTTAAAATAAAACCTTACCTTTATCGTCGTCAAAGGATTGCTGAATTTCATCTTTTTTAATTCTAAATACCAAGGCATTTTTGATAACAAACATTTGTCACTGAATCTAAAAACTTTTCGTAAGTATATCCTACGTTCTGATATATCGAAAACTAGTAGTTGCTTTTATAATTATTACCAAACAAACTAGTCAAGGTAATTTGAATATAAGGTTATAATACATGCAAAGTTGAATTGTTTGTATATTCTGTCGTAAATTTTGCTTGCGCAATGGTATTTAATTTTTGATTTATTAATAATTACACAGAGCAACTGATAGTCTTAAGTGTACATTTTAGGAACCTTTTTCAGTAAGAAAACGTTTAAGAAAATTGATTTTTTATTCAAGGTGCGACTTGATATTAACGGGTCAAACTAATCAATAATACCTATACACAAGATGTAAATAATTTAAATACTTATTACTGGAATAAAGCAAAAACAAAGCTATTTTCTATAAGGGTAATGGGTAAAGAGACACAAGGTGAGAAAGGCGTTTGACACTGTGATGAGCAATTCTCATTTGTTGGATGTCTTTGACGACAAAGGTATACGAGGGTTGCCATTTAAATTCTTTGAAAGTTACTTGCCAAATAGAAAGGAAGGGGTAAGGATAGAAATGAAGAGTAAGTAGTAGTACAAAATCGGAGTTATTAATCGTGCCTCGCGGAACGGTTTGGGGAGCAATATTATTCAATATATATGTTAAAAATTCACTTTTTAACAAGAAAAAGTAATCAACCTGTATATAAGAGTTGCTTTGGTAACTGTCATAACGATATATAATTTTTTTTGTGACAGCAGTATTATGTAAAAAAAACACACCAACACCAAAAAAGAAAGCAGTAGTTGTCCTAAACTCCCCGCTACTCACTAGTTGTATCTCAAATTTTATGCTGGCCAGAAATTTCCTTCCGTTGTGATTCATGGTCCTTCGAGCAAGATCTATTAAGCAGGGTCCACTTAAAGAAGAAATACTCCCACCCAGCAGATTTTCACACAGAAGATTTCCACTAAACCAGTATCCCCTAAAACAACAGATTCAGATTCCCACTATTCGCAGTTCTCTACAAAAATCTCAAGCAGTGTCCACTTAAGAAAGCCAATTTTCAATCATATCCACATTTGAAGATCATTGGTTAAGGGTAAAGTAAATGATAAATATGGAAGTCAAACAAAGGGCAACTTGCAAAGCTCAGATTACACGCACTATCAATTGGTATCACGAAAATAAAGATTCATTAATTAGCAAAAATCAAATATTGAACAGAATTGACTTAGTCTCATCATATTTATCAAAATATAATGACATTCAAGATCAAATTGAAATTAAGTATAGTGACAAAGATTCAGAAGATCGTGAATCTTTTGAAATTAACTGTTTGGACATTAAAAGTACATTGCAAGATTACTTAGATTCAATTACGTTCTCAAATACTTCAAATTCATCTGTCAATAATAAAAATATTCGTTTACCAAATATAAATTTACCCATTTTTTCTGGAAATTGTATTGAATATCCCTCATTTATAGATTTGTTTACAGCCTTAATAATTAATAATAGTCAACTAACTTCAAAATCAAAGAAATTTTATTATTTAAAGTCATATTTAAGGGGTGAAGCTTTGCAGTTAATTAACGCCTTGCAAGTGACAGATGATAATTTTTATATTGCTCTTGAATTATTAGAAAATCGATATTGTAATAAAAACAAATTGTTAATACTCACTTTCAGCATTTACTCAATACTACTACCCTTACAAAATGTACAGCGTCGAGTTTAAGGCAATTTGTGGCAAATAATAAAGCAACTCTGGATGAACTTGACAATTTAAATTACTCCAAATCACAACTGTTTGAGTCGCTTATAATTTACATTTTAGAACATAATAGTTATTTATGCAACAAGTGCAAAAAGTAAGTGTTTATTGCACGCGACGTGAAATTGTCGTGCCGTCAGGCCGAGTTGGACAACACGTCGAGTGCAATAAACACTTTTTGCACGAGTTGCATACAATATTTTTTCTACGTTCATGCAAAAACCAAAAAATGTTTCATAGAATTGCAGTTGTATTATCCAAATCATAGTAGACGTGATCGTGTACCTTTGTTTGAGGCATTTATTTACGTTTGTGTTCATAATTTGTAATGACATTTTTATTAAAATACATTTTTTTATTAATTTATTCATTAAATGATTGAAAATAATATAAAATATGCAATTGTTTTTAAAACGTAACACAGAAAATGAAAATGGACTAAATATTTGGCGTTGATTTGAATATTTGTCCACGACCACTTAATAATAAATCAATATTCTACCTCCTAAGAGCATAATATAGTACCCATATATCACGGAGTGAATTATGATAATTCACGCTTTTGTAATTCTGGCACATTCCGATAGATAACTAAAGATAGGCGATACTTTTCATAACGATATTTTCTAGATCGAAAAATCGAAAAATCGAAAAATCGAAAAATCGAAAAATCGAAAAATCGAAAAATCGAAAAATCGAAAAATCGAAAAATCGAAAAATCAAAAAATCGAAAAATCGAAAACGTCACCCTGCGTGAATAATGGCTACCATAAATTGCTCGTTTAATAATATACTATTATGTTTGTCATGATCATAAAACGCTGTAGTAAAATGACAGATGAGTGCAATAAAATTTTTACTGCACTAATGCAATAAAGACCCAGTTTTTTAACTAAATATAGTTCAATAAAGTTTTGTTTTTTGCATGAACGTAGAAAAAATAAATTTTGAAGAAACTTCTGATCTCGACACTCTGCCAAATCTTCAAAATTTCATAAATTTTTTAAACCAAAGATGTGTGATCCTAGAAAATACAAATTTAGAAAACTTTAGTTCATCTTTTAAACCGTTGGATAACAATGAAAAATCTTACGGCAAGACGAAATCACCTAAAGTCTCTTTAAACGCACAACCACATTATTCTAAAAATTCTACCTCTTCTTGACCATCTTCCCCAATACATCACATTTATATCTATTGTGGAGTCAATATCCATAAAATATACAATTGTCTAGAATTTAGTAAGCTGTCAATACCTGACAGATATAATTTTGTTAAATCTCATAATATTTATTAATTGTCTAGGTACGCGACATTCAATTAAGAACTGTTCATCCCATTCAACTTGCTTTATATGTCATAAGACACACCACTCTCTTTTGCATAGAACAAATTTCTGCTCTCAAGATCAGTTACCAAATTACAAAAATCAAACACAAGCTTTATAAGACCACCAATCTCCCAATAATTCTGCACCAACATAAAGATGTCATTCGTAAATATTGGATCGTAATATGCCCTCAACCTCTTCCCAATCAAATAATCACTCTGTCATTCCACAGAAAACCTCATTGTTATCAGCACAACATAAGGTGCTCACGTACTATTGGCAACTGCTCAAGTTTGCTTATATCCAAAAACTGGTCGTCCTATAATCGCTAGAGCACTTCTTGATTCTGGTAGTCAATTGCCTTTTATCACCCTCTCTATTGTTTAAAAAATAGGTGTCAAGCCATACTATCGCAGATCTCAAATCTCTGGGATTTGCAATTAGGCACTTAGATAATATAATAGCAGATAGGCCACCACTGCGTAAAGTTATACAATATTAATCTCGCTATCATATAATCAGTATCTCTCTTTCTAATGAAGGCTTTCTCACTCGTTTTAGAATTCTCAGCAGTAGCGTACCGTAAAACAATTTCGCTGGGTCATTTTAAATGCGAAAATGTTGATCAAATAGAATATAAAATAAAATGTTTTAAAAGGTAGGTAGGTGCATTTTTAATGAAGTGAAAACAAAATATGACTTTTTTGTTATGAATATAATATTAATAACAATTACTTTTAACACCACAACACGAACAAATTTAAATTAAACACTGGAATAATTGTCTGAAAAAAGCTTTGTAAAACTGACAAATACATACAAAGAGATAGAGATATTAATCTATTTCTCTCTAATTAGAATTCTCGACCATATTATCATGGCGACACAAACATTGTTTACTGTCCTCTCTTTACTACTTACTTACTCTGAGATTAGGCATTCCAAACAAATGAATTACCAGTGGGCAGGTTTGGTATATCTAAGGGTGGCGACATATGGTGTATTCTATCTACTTTACGTAAAATCATGAATAATGGATTATATTTAAATATTTTATGTCAAACACAATAAAAATAATATTTAAAAAACCCACCTATACATTTCTTCATAAATTAGCAGGCTTGGCGAGTACTACTTCGAATAAAAATAGCGTCCAAGTTGCAAGACTATGTCGCTACCCCCTTAAATATACAAGAATTTCCCACTGGCACCTATTGTTTGACAGGTCGTTGGAATGCCTAATAATGAAAGTAATGTGCAACAAATGACAGATATTGACATTTTCCCCTATTTTGATTCCTCCACCTCCTATAAAGTATCATGTGCAATAGTGGAGAATATTACTTAAAAGTTACCTCAGGTTTTTATTAATAGTCAAATATTAAATATACCGCCTCATTTTAAAAGCTATCTCGCAGATAAAACATTTAATCTATCATCAGAGATTGATATACTTTTAGGAGGTAATGTATACTATGACTTGCTTCAACCTGATCTTTATTCTTTAGGCAAAGGGTGTCCTACACTAACTCAAACTCAACTAAGGTGGATACTATCTGGGGCAGTACCTCGAGAATATCTAATTTCGAAATCTCCAACTGTTCATTCATTCTATCTTACCAATTTCTCTGAAGAAAAAATCTCGACACACTCTTGGAAAGATTTTTAGAACAGAAAAATGTTTCCTCTCCCTCTTGCAACAAAGAACAAGATAAACTTGCTGAAAGTATTTTTCACGACACTACCTTAATACTTCCTACTGGAAGGTTTCAGGTAGATTTACCCCTCGTACAATCTCAAGCTTATAAGAAATTGGGAGATTCGTTTGTTACAGCAAAAAACCATTTTCTCTCTCTAGAAGGAACATTTGAAAAGAATGCTTCTCTCAA